GAGGGTCTCTTCCAACCAGATGATTCTGTGACTCTGTGATCACTAGTGGAACTGTTCAAAATGAGAAGAGAACGCAAAAAGGCACCGCAGCGTTCCTGCTCTGAAGGAGATGCCATCTCTATGTGCACAGTAAGCAAGAGGGACTTCAAAGAAATCACTGTCTTTGGGCTTGAGCTAGTCATGGCAACCATTTTCTCTAGTATTTGCATGAAAAATCCAGTTGGTTTTGGAATCGGTTGGAAACTTTCCTAGGACTGGCAAAGAACAGGAAGCACGAGTCTTCACACCAGTAAGGAACAGCTGGTGTGACAGACCTGCAAACCTGATGCTGGGGAAAAAGGGGAGGATGGTTCCAGCTGGGAAAGGCGTTGATCCTTCTCTGAGCCAAAAGACAACTTTGAATCCATAGTCACCTAATTTTTCCCCCATTTCCTTTTGCTTATGCCAATAATAACCTTTGCATTACTGTAAATTTTTTTTTAGAAGTCTGTAAATATGTAAAATGAAAATATGGACAAATTGTGTACCAAAATGGTACAAAAATGTGTAAGATAAATGCTGTTTAATGAGAAGCTGTAATTAAATGCTGCTTTGAGAAAGTGTGCATGAGGACGTGTTAAATATGTGTCTAGAAGTTGTGTTAATGACAGCAAATTCTCCATTTATGTCGGAAAACTTCATGCTAATACGGACTATGAAGGAAAAACTAATATTTTACTTCAAGCAAAAGTTGGGTGTTGAGTTTCTTGGACGATTTCATGTGCATAATCATTGTTAAATATGTTCATAATAAAGTTTTATATCTTTATATTGTATCTTGGGTTTATTTTCCTTCTAGTAAATGACTAACAGTCCCATTTTTGTAACTTACATGTATTTTCAGTTTACACGTGTTCTTATGCATATTGAAACGTGGTTAATTGCATCAGGATGGATCCAGGACGCTGTGTCAGCACAGATTATCCAGGGAATTATATTTTGGGTTGGATTTTGGTTGGTTTGGTTTTTTTTGATTACCCTGCCTGGGCTTGAAGGTGAAAGGAGAGGTTGCTAATTTTCCTGAGAAACACACTAGCCAATTTCCAAAGGAGAACTGGCGTTCTCGAGCGGCTCCAG